ACCCCATCAAAAGATCAACCGGGAATTTTCCTCCTCCAAGAAGGGCGATGTTCCCGACAAACGACTAACGCGCCAGCGATTGTTTCTGGGTGCTAAGTTGGCTGTGATTTTGTTTTATTGAGCTCAATTGTTTTGGTTATGCTCCACCACACCCCGAGAATTTACTGAGATAATTAAAGAGTTTTGTGTTTTGTGTTTTGTCGGCGTTCGGCGTTTGCCTTTGATCATTTTTACGTATACTATGGGATGGCGATCATGTTCTCGGTAAAAGGTAATACAACACTTTTTCGTTTATTATTTTATTAAGCATAACATAAGCCATAACGAGAATTATAAGTCTTTTTCTGAATGATAATTAATTTTTATAGATGTACTAAAAGACATATTATGTACAGAGTGTTCTTGAATTATTTATAAACGAAAGATATAATTTTATTGTTTTTACGAATATTCGTTAAACATTTAATAATATTAATATGGAAAGTAGTGACATCAGAATTTATCAAAATTGCGCTTGTGCTGGGGTAGTGAAATTTTCGGAAATGAAAATTAAAACTAGATATCAGGATGTCACGTGTTTTTGTTTTGTTAATTGACGAATTGTCAGGGTATTTTAAAAAGGATTGTCAGTGAGAAATGAAAACAATTAATTGTATGATATTCTGTTGGGATGTACCTACTAGATGGCTATGAAGGGTTTAAATAAAGCAAATACTAAAGGTAAATAATTATTTTTAACAAAAATCTTCATAAAAAATTGAAGGAAAGAAAGCAGATCAGGTGAGATAGACCAAACAACGAGGCAGACAAAAAATTAGATATCTACCAGAGGTAGACCAAAGAAGAGCATAGAATCCGGAGTGAGCGGAGGAACTAAAAAATAGAAAATAATTTTAAATTAAGAATAGTGTGATTAACAAAAAAATTTCTTGTATTGTAGGAAAGCGTGGGGTGCTTGATGTCGGTTGTTATAATATTTAAATGACAGATACTGGTAAAAGTAGAGTCATTATGGAAATATCTTAAAAACGCTTTTCTATAACAAACGATTTTTTTTGTTAATGGCACTATTTTTAATTTAAATTTATTGAAAATTATTTTCTACTTTTTAGTTTGCGTGTTTTTTTATTAATGTTATTATTATGTTTTAAGAAAAATTTTAAAAGTTTTTGTTTTTATAACAAAAATCTATTATGAAACAATTTTACCTCTTACGTCAACCCTATTAGAAGGGGGCTTGTTATTTTTTTAAACAGACGGGTGAGGCTTGTAATACCTCGTTTAAAATGTATTTTTATTGTCTACTATTCAGTAGTATATTTTATGTTTAATTTATGTTTAGTTATTTAAATTTAAAAGATTAAAGTTAATAGACAAAAACCTTTGATTTTGATGTGGTAAAAGTCAATAACTTACATGAATGTTATAAAAACGCAAACCTTCTAAAATAGCTTGGTATTTATGTAATCAGTTTCGAAATGCATTTTTTTGTAATGACGGAATATTTTTGGACTAATTTATACAATTCTGTTTGGGTAAGAACTAAGCATTAATTTTTGTATTTCTAATCAATTATTTTAGAAAATGGATACTTTGAAATAATGGGTAACTTCATATCAATCTTATACTTTTAAAATATTTGTCATCACAGTTTTCATTTCTTGTCATATCAGTATCAGTGTCGTGTATTGAGTAAACCAGTGTTTTCATTATTTTGTGCAGGTTTAGGATGGATCAAGACTGTTTAAAATAGTGACCGAACCAGAATTATTACTAATATTAAGTTTAAAAATTTATTTTGATATAGCCAACCTTCCTCCCTCTAATATAATATTTTTTAACCAAAAATTAATCATTATTATTTATTGAAAAATTAATCATTATTATTTCTTTTCGTAACCTGTTACACAATGTCCAACCATTATGTAAATATAATTGTTTGTACGGCTACTGCAGACTTTTCAGTTTGTCCTAAACGACAACTTTGTTTGTGTTCTGTTAATCGTGTGCCAATGCTTCTCTTTGTTTGTCCTATGTATACTTTTCCACAGGTGCCTAGAAGTTTGTAGACTACTGTTGATGTTATCATTTGAGGTGGTCTCTGCGGTCTTTCGCTGTTTTAAGATATTCCCCATTTTCTGTTTGTTGGCTTATAGACAGTGCTAATTTTCATTTTTTTACGATTTTCCCAGTTTGGTAAGTGACACCTTCTACTTGCGGTAGATAGATACTTCCTTGACTTTGTTCTTCACTAGACTTGGTCTTATTCTCCCTTGGGCGCGTAGCTCGAATCATGTCGTTTTTGCTGTATTCGTTTGCTTATAACTATTATCTGGTGTTTTATTTTATCGTTAATGTGTCTAAGTTAACATATCCTTAACGCTCTGTTAACTAAAGTGTTGATAATCATGTGCTTCTGTTTTGGATGATGGTTGGATCCATGTTGTAGCTATCGATCAGTGTGTGTCTTCTTTCTGTATACTTTGTGGCATTGTATATTGTCTTCTCGGCTGACTAATACAGGAACAAGTTGAATGATCTGGTCAATCAAGATACATACAGGAAATTATCGAAATATCCAACGGAGAAGATTTTAAGAAAAACTTTCAAATTAATAAAATAGTCGTCACTACCACCGGATACAAAGAAGAAAATCTGCACTACTGAAGCTCTACCACCAAGACTATATGGATTACCAAAAAACCACTAGTAATTTTTTAAAGAATGTTCAAAATAATATAATTTCTTGGCAATGACAAAAATGAGTATAAAAATGATTATTAACTTTTCTTTGTAGGTTTACCAGTAATCGACTTAGTCTCTTAAGTAACTCGTTTTTTAAATCTTGTAAGTTTTATTTACATAAACTTTTTTCAAGTCACTCCACAGAAAATAATATCTGGTGATCTAACAAGTCAGTTGACAATGCCAATCCATCTGTTAGGAAATAGCTGGTATTTAATATAATTTCTAAGAATATTTTTATAATGAATGGCTGCTTCATCTTGTTGAAACCATATTTATTTATAAACGTTCATGATCATATGAAAACACTGCATTGCAAAATTAGGAATGATTGTAATATTTGCAAGGGTCTTTCCCATACAGTTACATTTTTTGGATATTTAGTGTTTCCATTATTCAAAGAGGATTTTTCAATATCTACAATTTTGTTTATCAATATCTACAATGTTAATTACTCACAAACAACTTAAAAATCATAAAAGCTTATAGAAGATTTTACATAAACTGAAAATAAATTTATGTCTGCTTCAAACTACATGGACATATACTGAGTTGCTAATAATAATAGTCTTGAAACCTCTTTCTGGTAATCTTTTACCATGTAACTTAACTGGTTCACTATCTCCGAAGATTTTCATAATAACCTATGATAAATGTGACATTACAAAGTAACCCGAATTGCCAATATCATTATTTATAATTAAATCAATAAACATATTATTTATAATCGACCTAATTTTTTGGAAAACCATTGTACCTAAGAAGAAAGATAAAACCATTGCAGATTACAGAAAAAAAAACTTAATCTCTTGGTGTTCTCTTTCTTCTCATACATACCTACTATTATTTTATACAAAAACTATATTTCAGGTTTCTAATACAACTTGTAATTTCTTATAATCTACAATTTAATATTTCTAATTTTCTGTTTGCGTGTGGCCATAAATTTATATGTAAATAGATTGAGATTGAAATTGTTTTATAGTCCTATCAGCGATTTGAAATCTTTGGCGGCCTGAATCATAAGATAAATAATTTGTTCTATTAGTTCCAGTCTGTATATAGCAAACTATGTGTGTTATTTATTACTCGAAGGCTTAAAAGTACTATAAGTACTATTTAGTATACAGGAGGTCTTACTGAGAACAATTTTTAATTTTAAATGAAGGAAATTTTTATATTTATTGGCCAAATTTAAGGAGTATATTTTGGATGGATTTGGGTCGAGTACCTAATTGTTTTGTAAGTAATTTTTGTTTAATTAACAATATAAGGGCCTGGAGTACAGATTCCAATCTTTTTTAGACAGAGATTGAACATATAAATTTTAAATATTTTAGACATTTTGAAACATCGTGCGGTTTTTTTCAGAATTTCTAAATTTTTAGTTTTATCCTAATCATATAAAGATAGAATTCCGGTAAGCCTAATTTGGCAAATTTATCTTAGTATTACCCCAAAAAAAAACGTTTTTTGATCCTCTAACATATGGTATATTACATAAATGGTTAGTGAATTTCCTTGAAACCAAAAATTAAATTCGAAAATGTAAGAAATTGGCTCAATGCAACCCTTTATTTAATAATAGGATTGGATGACTTAAATGGTTGTTTGATGAACTATACGTCTAAGATAAAAATTAGGCAGGTGCAGACTATCTAGACAAGTTACGTCGCCCTACGGGTTCGTACAATTAAAAACAAATCTATGAAAAATATAATGAGGCTTAACACCTCTAGACGTTAATTTCATTATAAAAAGAAAGAACTTATACTTTTTTCTTTGGTTTTATATAATCTTTTTAAGCTTTAACTGGATGTTACGAATAAAACGCGGCCATGCATTGAGGCGAGCATTTCAGTCATTATATACACTGGAACTCTTAACACTTAAAGCTAAAGTGGTTCGAATTTATTGTATAATGTACAATTTTTGCTTGATCTTTCACGAGGGGTAAACCACAGGCTAAAATGTGTACACCTAATTCCTTTTCAATATTAAATTATTGCAACCCCTTTAAAATAATCACTCGATTCATCGGCAATTCTTCAGAAATTCCTTGGAAATTCCTTAAAAATTCCTTGGAAATTCCTTGAAAATTCCTTGGAAATTCCTTGGAAATTCCTTGGAAATTCCTTTGAAATTCCTTGGAAATTCCTTGGAAATTTCTTGCAAATTCTTTGTAGATTCCTTGGAAATTTCTTGGAAATTCTTTGGAAATTACTTGTATTTTTTTGTAAATTCCTTGTAAATACCTTGTAAATTCCTTGTAAATTCCTTGTAAATTCCTTGTAAATTCCTTGTAAATTCCTTGTAAATTCCTTGTAAATTCCTTGTAAATTCCTTGTAAATTCCTTGTAAATTCCTTGTAAATTCCTTGTAAATTTCTTGTAAATTCCTTGTAAATTCCTTGTAAATTCCTTGTAAATTCCTTGTAAATCCCTTGTAAATTCCTTGTAAATTCCTTGTAAATATCTTGTAAATTCCCTGTAAATTCCTTGTAAATTCACTGTAAATTCATTGTAAATTCATTGTAAATTCATTGTAAATTCCTTGTAAATTCCTTGTAAATTCCTTGTAAATCCCTTGTAAATTCATTGTAAATTCCTTGTAAATTCCTTGTAAATTCCTTGTTAATTCCTTGTAAATTCCTTGTAAATTCCTTGTAAATTCCTTGTAAATTCCTTGTAAATTCCTTGTAAATTCCTTGTAAATTCCTTGTAAATTCCTTGTAAATTCCTTGTAAATTCCTTGTAAATTCCTTGTAAATTCCTTGTAAATTCCTTGTAAATTCCTTGTAAATTCCTTGTAAATTCCTTGTAAATTGCTTGTAAATTCCTTGTAAATTCCTTGTAAATTCCTTGTAAATTCCTTGTAAATTCCTTGTAAATTACTTGTAAATTACTTGTAAATTACTTGTAAATTACTTGTAAATTACTTGTAAATTCCTTGTAAATTCCTTATTCCTTGTAAATTCCTTGTAAATTCCTTGTAAATTCCTTGTAAATTACTTGTAAATTCCTTGTAAATTCCTTGTAAATTCCTTGTAAATTCCTTGTAAATTCCTTGTAAATTCCTTGTAAATTCCTTGTAAATTCCTTGTAAATTCCTTGTAAATTTCTTGTAAATTTCTTGTAAATTTCTTGTAAATTTCGTGTAAATTTCTTGTAAACTCCTTTTAAATTCCTTGTAAATTCCTTGTAAATTCTTTGTAAATTCCTTGGAAATCCCTTGGAAATTCCTTGGAAATTCTTTGGAAATTTCGTGGAAATTCCTTGGAAATTCCTTGGAAATTCCTTGGAAATTCCTTTGAAATTCCTTGAAAATTCCTTGAAAATTCCTTGGAAATTTCTTGGAAATTCCTTGGAAATTCCTTGGAAATTCCTTGGAAATTCCTTGGAAATTCCTTGGAAATTCCTTGGAAATTCCTTGGAAATTCCTTGGAAATTCCTTGGAAATTCCTTGGAAATTCCTTGGAAATTCTTTGAAAAGTTCTTGGAAATTCTTTGGAAATTCCTTGGAAATTCCTTGGAAATTCCTTGGAAATTCCGTGGGAAATCCTTAAAAATTCCTTGGAAATTCCTTGGAAATTCCTTGGAAATTCCTTGGAAATTCCTTGGAAAATCCTTAAAAATTCCTTGGAAATTCCTTGGAAATTCCTTGGAAATTCCTTGGAAATTCTTTGGAAATCCCTTGGAAATTTCTTGGAAATCCCTTGGAAATTCCTTGGAATTTTCTTGGAAATTCTTTGAAAATTTCTTGGAAATTCCTTGGAAATTCCTTGGAAATTCCTTGGAAATTCCTTGGAAATTCCTTGGAAATTCCTTGGAAATTCCTTGGAAATTTCTTGGAAATTCCTTGCATATCTGAGAGTATTTCATTTATTCATTACATTATAAATGCTTATAATGCGTACATTACTTACCAATACATATTACGATTGCATATGCTTAGCTATTATTGTATGCGTTTTCGTATACGTTTATAAGGCTCTCTAATAACCTTTAACTTGAAACCTACCACTTTGGATAATAGTTTATTGTGGACGGTATAAAACACCAATGTATGTTTAGTCGCCACAACACTAAATCGTTTAAGAATTCGGTGAGGACACAACAGTCATTCTCATAAAAAGTCAGTCTAATGGAATAGGACAAGCGACAACAAAGACAGCAGCAAAGATAGAATGACAGAACGAGCACTGGGGGTTGCTAACAATAACTCTAGAGGGGTGACAGTGTCGTAATAAATACGGTTTCGCTCGACGTTCGCTATTTTCCGTCCGATTTACTCCTGATGAGAAAATGAGAATTCCTCGCGGTCACGGGCGCGAGAAAACTCCACTCTGTGACGTCATAAATCCTCAGGCGCGAGATGTGGTACATTCGAAGCATTAAGTTGGAAGGATTTTGTTCTTAGTCCTCGTTTATTTAGATCAGGAAGATTGAATTAAAGCTTTGAGCCTTGTTGGCTAATAGAGGAGGTATAGTAAAAACATTGGCATTAGTAAACATTATTTATTAGTAGCTTATTGAACAAGGTTAAAATATTCATCGGACGATTACAGGGAATAATGTAGACACTACTAATGGAATGAATTCTTCAGTGTGAAAAAATGCTTTCTGCTTACAATTCATCATCAAATCCATCCTATCTTGTCAATGATCCAATGTAGAGGTTATTTTAGGCGGAGGTCAACAAACTAAAAGTTGTCTTTACTTATAGTAAACTATTTCCTAAAATTTCAGTCAAAAATAAATATGTCTTCAAGCCTCCAGGATCCGATTACAATTAGAAGAACACCAGCTACGTCATCATTTGGAAAAGTAATTAATTGCTTATCACCCCCTACTGGATATTTCGTGAAATATTAAAAGAAATATAGGAAATATTGTTTTATACCCAACAACTTACTTATTTTTTATTTATTGATAGTTACAGATAATATGTATTCGTATTCGAAATTCAAAGTTATGGTTATGACGTAGCTGTGTTCTTCTAATTGTAATCGAACCCTACCTTTCATGAAATTGAAAATAAAATGGTTTGGGAAATTTTAAAAATATATAAATGAAAATTAAATAAAATTTACCTTTATTAATTTCCAAGAACTGCGACTATATCTGGAGTCTGACTTGCCAAAAAATAAGGAACAGGAATATTTGGGTAAAAAGGGGAAAAATTGGAATTTATGGCTTACCAATAATCCTTTAATTTACTCTAAGTAGTAAATCACTAATTTTTAATTAATTTGCGGTGGAATTGTTTATCAAGCCGGCACTAATTTTTACACACAAAAAACCGTGGTTTTTAATACGAAGGTTCAAAACGGACTGGACTCTTTTTCGACATGAGCTTAAAAATATCTTTTAATAAGAAAAGTTAAAATTAAATTGATTTATGAACGTGGACTGTAGGCAACCAATTTTACTTGAAGAGTTTAATAAAAAATACCGTAACATAAAATACATAAAATTCTAGTAAAAAACATATACCAAATGCACTTTATTCACAGGTGCCTGACATCAAACGTTTACATTAATAAACAAATCCAGAAATTCCCAAATATTATGTCACGAAACTCTCCAATCTTGTTCAATCCATTTTATAATCGTTTATGCACAGCGAATTGTGTAGCTCTTAGCTAAACTCAGTCTTCTTTTGATAGTCGCGGAAGTAAGATCTTTGTTTTAAGTTGTAATGAGTTTGTAAGTGAAGGATACTAGGGGCAGTAGGGGAGCTACTTATTGTCCTATATTTGGTGCACCAGCGAATATACCCTCTTATTTGCTTATTCGAAATGAACTTAAGGTTTTGAGCTCTGGTAAAGATCTTAGTATTTTAGAAATTTCTCAAATTCTTGAGAATGAAATCGAAGTGATCTGGGAAAAAGCTTTAATTTAATTCCCACTATATCGAAAAATCGCATTATACAATTAATTTGAGATATCCTGGGTAAGTACCAAACCCTTATTAGATATCCTAAAACTAAACGAAATGACAATTTTAAGTTAAAAGTTGAGAAATATAAAGACGATTCAAAGAAATTATTCGATATTGCCGTATGTAAATGTGCTTCTTTTGATACATGTGGCTGTGCTTTAAAACGTAAAATACCAAATATAGAGCAAGATTTTATTCATGATCAACGAACTGTAAGAAAATTTGTTATCGGAAAAATAGACGTTACTGAAAAAAATAAATTAAAAGCCAAAGAAGAAAGATAAATTAAGATCAAGGCGCATGCAAATCAGCTTTCTTTTAAGTTTGAAGTAGACAATGACGACATTGAAAACTTTGAGTGAGACAGAATTTCTTATTCATCTGAGACAGATGTCAGTAGAACTTGACAATTTAACATAAAAATAAGAAGCTAAGTCGGAGCTTCCATCAACATCAGATTGCAGTACAAGCCAGCAAATGAGATTGCCTATTCCCAACCTAGCTCGTATTTCTGACCAGTTTGAAATTTCGGACCGTTCTGCAGCAGCGCTTGCATCTGCTGTATTACAGGATTTGGGACTTATTTTGAAAGAAACATCGCCTTCAGTTATTGATCGAAGTAAGGTCCGAAGAGCTCGTCAAAAACATCGTTTTGATTTAAAAAGCGAATTCCAAACATCCACTCCGGAGATTAGAGCATTATACTTTGATGGAAGAAAGGATAAAACAATGTACCAGGAAGAAATTAAAAACAAATATTATCACAAAATAAAAATCGAAGAACATATGTCATTGCTCAAAATATATGGATCACATTACGGGGAAACATATTGCCATATCTGTAGTTAATTTTCTACGAGAATTTGACATCAGTACAAATAAGCTTTTAGTAGTAGGCTGCGATGGTACAGCGGTTAATACAGGAAGGAAGAATGGAGTTTTGCGGCATTTAGAAACAAAACTGAAACGTATTCTGCAGTGGATGATACGTCAGCAACATACGAATAAACTGCCTCTTCGTTTTCAATATCTTGACGGAGAAACTTCAGGACTTCGTGTATACTCTGGAGCTATAGGAAAAATGTTGGAGTCTTGCGAAAAATTGCCCGTTGTAAATTTTGTTCCTATTGTTAGCCCTTTACAAGAATTAGACGCTGCAGCTATTAGGAATCTTAGCACTGATCAAAAGTACTTATATGAAATGTGTCACTCAATTTCTAGAGGAAACTGTTCATTAGATCTAACAGCTCGTAATCCAGGTAAATTATCACACGCACGATGGCTTACAAAGGCAAACCGTATATTGCGTCTTTACATCGGAAGTAAATGTCGGTCTACAATCGCTGAATTTGTGGTAAAAGTTTATGCGCCAGTGTGGTTTGACATTAAAAGAAAACCACCGTATTGTGATGAAGGAAGACGTCTGTAGAATGATACAGTTGACAAGCTACTTGAACAACGAATTAAAGGCAGTCATCTATCCTGTTATCAAACGAAATGCGTATTTTTGTCATCCGGAGAACCTTCTTCTAGCAATGCTTTCTGATGATCGTCCTGCTATATAAGACAACTTAGCTTACGAAGAATATTGAAGGCGCGCACAAAAATATCTAAAGACGTATTCCTGAATTAGATTTCGATGCCAGTGAATATTAGGAGCTTCTTGATTACCTATCAAAATTGCTCAGTTACAGCACCACCTATTTAAAGTACTGCAACTAATGGAGATATCAGAGAATTTATAAACGATACAGGAACGTGGCCTGTAGATTTTTTTCCTTTCCCTGCCATACACAGGCAGTAGAGAGGTGCGTGAAGGTTGAAACAGAAGCTTCCAATTCTGTTGTCAGCCATGACTCTACAGATGGATTTATTCGTGCAAGGATTCATTCTAGAACCATACTACCTCGATTTAATACTAAGGCGGAATACAATGCATTAATTTCATATCTCTATTTTTTTTGTTTGCTCGTCTGTTATATTGTTGAGTTGTACTCGCTTTCGTTATAAAACAAAACATATTTAAATTGTTTATTTTCATTTTTATTAAAATATTTGCAAAAGTGATACTATTTCATTTATTACTCCGTTTTATTAGATTATTAAGGAAAATAGAAAAATTCAAGTAGGTGTACAGCCCTGAAGATGACATTTTAAAAATAAAATAAAAATAGCCCGTTAATTATTCTTACATTTAGCAACTTTCCGCAATATTACGTTTCGAAAATAAAATAAAAAATATTTATTTCCTGTTTGATTTCACCCTAGTATACAGTTCAATTCTATCTAATCCATAATACCGATTTATCAGAAAGAAAACAAATTAATAGGTTTATTTTAATGTGAAAAAAGGTTTTTATTTGATTCAAAAGAAGCTCTATTAATTCCCTAAATGACAATTTTGTACACCGTCTTTCTTCTTTTATTACTTTTTTAAATAAACACATAATAGCTACATATACCAAAGACATGTTTTACCACAAAAAAAAACACAGCTAATGATACTAATAATACCAAATTACCCTTTTCCCAAATAATACCAACGATTTAAAATCGTTTTACCGCCCACGGGTCGACCCAAAACTAAAAAAGTGAAAAATTATTTATTTCTTTCATCCTCGATTGACATATCAATGTCCCAGGGGTGTAAACATTAAACATCTGTCTTTTTCTATTAAAAATAGTAATTTCTTGACCGCAATCAATAGATCATTTTTTCAACCCCTACAGTGTTGGAAACATAAAAGGGTGAGATATTACTATTAATGAAAACAAAAATATAAATAACTTCCTGTGTGGTTTTTCAAATAATTTTTTTACTTGCACCAGACAGGTAGCAGATGTTTAATTCTTTGGTTGAGTTTCTATAGATACCTGTATTACCGATGACTCTATTAAAAAGTTAAAATGAAGATATTAGTGTTAGCGTGAGAAGATG